AGTAGATAAAGAGATATCACTTTGATGGGAAAATAATTGTTCTGTATGTCTCAGTGTATGGTCATGCTAACCACATAACCATGTAAATGTCTTTGGACAACATTCACTCCCTTGGCTAAGAAACAGATGAGCACTAACCCCTAGAGTAGGACACGACTGGTCAGGGGAAACCTTTACTGAAGCTTTTAAATCAGAATTGGCAACTGATAGCCCTACATTCCTGGAATTACCTTTCCAAGACTGCCTCGTTAAATTCAGAGCCAAGATACCAAATAACAGTAAAGTAATGTTATTTCTATTAATTTGGCTGGAAATTAACTAAGTCTCCAAATCAAGTAATTCTTTAAAACAAAAGAATCTCTTTTTCAAAAAGATTTTAACAGGTGCTACATTAGTTGTAATGTTACATTAAGAGTGGAAAGAACCAAGTTCTACTGCATCCTCAAATATGACTTGAGGCCTATGATTTCGCTTTCAGTCCAACCTACATCAATGATGTCAAGAAAACACAAGGACAGATCAATGTAACCAGTAAGAATTCAGCTTGACTTAGTTAAGAAGTTATGGCAAATTAACTAATTATGAAGCAAAATATGGTGCAAATTGAAGTAAATACCTGACCTGGAACTGTCACTATGACACTCTATCTAAACTGTGGCCAAAACAACAGCCACAAAGCTACCAATTCTGATTTGCAACAACCCAGGCAACCACCAGAGGATAAAAAGTGCAAGAAAAAAATATTATCTGTTGCTTAATACTCTTGTTTTTTTAACAGTCCAGATCCAGTAATCCTATTGAAAAGCATTACATGTAAATCAAAAAGCAAATTGTAAAAACACTAAAACAAGCCATTTTTTCCCCTTCTATCGGCAGTTTAAGCCTTTAATAAACTATTCTTCTGAGTTCCGGTATCAATCTTGTTGTCTTTATTTATACCTATTTTGCAGTTAACAGAAATTTCTAGATTCAGTTTGAGAGTAAACGCTTCAGATATTTTTATACTAATATGTATGTATATATTATATATTTATATTGTTATACATATATAATACAAATATACAGTAACATATACTTTTATTCTTTAATATCTTAGTTTTGGTTAGTTTAGGGTGATGGTACTTACCCCATCATGACAACCAAGTTCTATAATTTTCTTTTTGTCTGAAAAGCAGCCTAGATAAGTATGTTTTATCCTAGATAGAGAAAAAGGAAAATCAACAAAACTCAGCTAATTTTCTTTATTGAATAGTCTTATGTAATAACAATTAAATCGTTAAAACTAAAGAGACATATAATTGAATATAATTTTTAGAACAAAAAATAATCACAGCAAATGTCCCTTTGCAATAAGGATAAAAAGTAAATGGCATATAATTTATTTTGTCTCTTTGTAAATTTCATTCATTTCCTTTTGTTTATAGTGTAACTAATTTAAAAAAGGCATGTGAGCAAGAGTAAAGAATCTTATATATTTATGCCACTTACACTGCTGAATGCTTGCCACAAATGTTGCAATCTTTTCTTTTCCCTTTTATTTTTAGATAAATTCGCAAGATGGCTATAGTCCAGATTTTTTAAAAAAAACAGAATATCTGATTAAATGCCTATTTATAATACAAATTTATATAGCCACCCAATCACATATAGTGACTCTGGGTGGGATACAGAAATAAAAAGCCAGTTTAATCCTCCTTCAATGTTATTTATGGGTTAACTGATGAATTAGTAATTCTTAAATTAGCCCTACTTGACATGCTTTACCTTCAGTTATATTCATTTTGGAAAATACAAAAGAATGCACTTATAATTATATAATGTGTAAAGTCAATCAAAGTAGAATGAACCCCAAATCCAGCACCGCTGCCCCAGACCCCTTACTCTCTCAATTTTTTATTTTCAGTGAAAGAGATAATACCATATATCTCACATATATAGAAATGTTCTTAGTATATGTAAAAGAACAAGACTTAACAAGCATGAACATAATGAGATCAATATGGAACAAATAAATAGGTAACCCAAAAGGTTGCATATTATATTTACTGTACTTCCTCGGGGTAAATCCTACTAATTCAAAACAGTTTATTTCTGCATAGACGCGCATAGATTTGCAATGTATACCACAATTCTATACTGTAGTCAACTGCCAGGTAACTGATGCTTCCTCAGTTTTTACCCTTTGGGAACTGACAAGCTACTTCAGATGAATTATTGGAATAACCTAACTTTATATTCCACTTACAAAGATTGCTGAGATAATATATTATTTTCAAGCACTATATTATTCTAGAGCATAGGTAGTCCTCAGCTTACGATCATAATTGAGCCCAACCTTCATATTGCTAAGTGAGAAATTTGTTAAGTGAGTTTTGCCCCAATTTATGACTTTTTTGCCATGTTTGTTAAATGAACCGCTGCAGTTAAGTTAGTACCATGGTTGTTAAGTGAATCTGGCTTCCCCATTGACTTTGCTTGTTCGAAGGTTGCAAAAGGTGATCACATGACCCAGGGACTCTGCAATAATCATAAATATGGACCAGTTGTCAAGCATCTGAACATAAATCACATAACCATGGGGATGCTTACAATGATCATAAATGTGGTCATAAGTCACTTTTTTCAGTACCATTGTAACTTTGAATGGTCATTAAATGAACTGTTGTAAGTCAAGGACTACCTGTATTTTGTACAGTAACCAAATAGTACCTACCATTCTAAGAGACAACAACCCTCCAGCTCTTCAATACAAGTCTCTATTATTTATCAGACTCAATACCTTAGATCATTGTTTGCTTTAATATCCACAGAATTGAACCTGGGATTTTCTCCAAAGAGTCTTGGAAGGAGCTAGTAGACAGAAGCAGCAAAGATAATATTAGAGACCAGCTCCTTATGTATTTGTATCCTAACTTTATTATTTTTACAAATAACTCAAGGCAGCAAGTATGACTAACACGTTCCCTCCTATATTCCCCAAAACAACCACAATTGCCCTCTTTCCCTCCATTTGACCCAAGAGAAGATCCCAATCACCATTATTATACTATATCTTTATTATTGTAATTTGATTTTTTACCCTATAATCCTACTTTGGTGGTCATTTCCCATCTTTACAGGTTAAAAAAAAACCTGTGCAGAAGTAAACCCCTAAAAGTTAGGCTCGACTTATGGCAATTGTATCCTTACTGCTTTCCTGATCTTCATGTATTAAAAACTTTATTTTTTATTTTTTTTAAATTTTTTAAAGTTCATTAATTGCAATTTCATGGTTATGTCATCACCCATGATTTACAGAAATTGGCTCAGATTGTTTTAAACCATGAACCATAAACTAACCATAGAAGTCATATTCCCACAAGACTAAGCAAGGTAATCAGTTATTAAAGTCACAGATATCATCTGAACTAAGACAAAACACTGCATAGTTATGACAGAGAATCTAAACCATACTTTTGGTGGGGGGGTATGCTTAGCATCTTACCTCTAAAATAGCCCTCTCTTCTGGGTTTAGAGAGAGCTGGAAACCTAGGGAACCTTTTGAAACCCTCTTCCATTCTTCAGACATGAAGATGAGAGGCTAGGGCAGCTACTAACTGGAATTTCTCCAACCCAACAGAAACAGAAAAGGGATAAAGGGAAGCAAAGTCTTCCTCTACCCTACCTGCCATCATCAGGCCAGAATAGAAACATTTTTAGTTGCAAAAAAAGTAGATACTGTCATAAACGTGTCTGGAAGGCCAACCTAAGATGGCCCCTCCCAGTATAACCAAAGCTTAAATTTGGTTTTAGTGCTCTTTAGAATTTAGTTCAGTGCTCTAAACCTGGGCACATGGTTTATTCATAAATAGTAGTAAAATAAGTCACAAATGCTGATCAACAATTTCCACTGATTTCTGGAGTTGAGAATGGTTGCACTGGAGTTTCCTCAAACAGGTCATATAGCTTCAAATTGGCCGAAACTTTCAATAAATGACTAACAATTTTCTTGGATATTTATGAATAAATCAATTAGAAACTTTATTTCTAATTATAAGTGTATTGGGGAGGGGGGAAATCCAGACTTAAATAAAAATAGCATGTGATCTTCAATATACATAGGACCTTAAACTTGCTCCAACTAGCAGTGATTTCTTAGGTTGCAAGCAAATCTCTTTCCAACCTTGTCAACACGAGTGTGTTTTTATCCTCTCTCTGCCGTTGGAAATGCTTCTTCTCTCCCCTCCCCAAGAGCAAAGAATCCCATGCTTTGCTAGTTACGTTAAGGATTCGCCTTTTTAAATGGAGTCGGGTGAACTTTTTTCAAAAATAAAAGAAAGGTTGCCCCCCAGACACTCATTTTGCCTCGATTCAAGAGGAGCATTCAGTCGCATTTAACTTCGTTATTATTTAGGTTTATTATTATTGTTGTTTAGGTTCAGACCCCGGTGAACCATAAAGGAACTACACGGGCAGGATTAATTCAATATATCATGGACTAAAATGGGATTGACTTGTTTAGAGTTCAGGATGTCGTGCAAACATACCCACGGAGTCTTCTTTTGAGAAAGCATCTTAACCCCACCAGTGAGGCCAGAAATCTTTCTTGAAAGAACTTCTCCGAGTAACCTACGGAGTTTAAAAAAAAAAAAATCCCAATACCTGATATACTCTTTCTCGTCCAGGGCAGAACTTGCACGATCTTGCTTCCACTACAGCCATAGAGAAACTAACTGCAAGCTCGGGGAACCCGATAGGTTCCACCTCTAGGGGTCTCTGAATGGCCGTCATCTACGCCACTCACATGCACTCTCTATTCCTCCCCCGCCGCCGTTTCGACCGTTGACCAGCCTCACGGTCTCTTTGGAACTCCGCCCCTAGAAAGCTTGCCTCCGGTTTAAGGCTGGCGATTAGCTGCTGAACCTATCACTCACTTTTATCCCGCGCGTTGATTGGCCAAGCGTGGAAAAAAGGGGGGTAAGAATGCCGAGGCCTGGGGGGGGGGGAAGAAAGGAGGCGGGGTGGGAAGGGACAAGAGTCGCTGGTGTTTACTGGGCGGGAGGTGAAGAGCGAGGGATTGTTGAGAGAGTAGAGGAGCTGCAGCTCTTCATCTGTACTTCACCCTCAACTTGGGTCCTGGAGTTTCCCACTCTCGGAAACCTCTGCCGCTATGGGACTGCGGAAGAAAAACAAGAGTCCGCCAGTCTTGAGCCATGAGTTCGTTATCCAGAACCACGCGGATGCTGTATCCTGCCTGGCCATGGGCCTCCTTATGGGGCTCATGTTCGAGGTATCCTTACTTATAGAGGGCCCGGGGAGGAAGCGGCAGCGCGAGGGCTCGAGGCACGCCCCCTTTCCTCCCTCCCCCCCCCCACCGGTTCAAGTGCGGCCCCGCCCTTCTCTCTCTCGAGCTCTGGCGCTTCTCCTCTCCTGTTTAGCTGTTTTCCCCTTAAGCTGCTCATTCTCACGGTCGCGCTCCCCTCTTGCGTGCTGACGTACATAGGAAGGAGTGGACGTATAACTTGTTGCCAAGGCCGGTCTCGCCGTTTCTTAAGCTAAAACCGCTAGGCATGCTGGCTGGGTTCTCTCTCTCCTCCGCCACCGAAGGCGCAGGGGAATTCAACTGGCAGTCGCACTGAAGAAGATAACTCGTGCAAGCCAGTCAAGCTGCTTTCAAAGGCTGCGGAGAGGGGGGGGGGGGGTGAGATAACATAGCTTGGACCAATTAGCGAGATCTGTAGAACAAAATAGTTTAGCGTTTCGTCATATCCAGAGAGAAGGGAGTGCGTCTCGTTTTAATATCACATTGAGTCAAATGGGATGTACAGTGGTCTTTCCCCGCTTTTCTCTTCTTGTTTCCCTTTGGAACTGGTGACTTGGTCTCCGGTACTGATTTTCAACCCTGGAGTACGATTCTGGATTTCATATTAAAATGAAGTGTCCAGAGAAGATGCCAAATGATTTCCCCAAACGGAGGGGTGGCCGGTTTAGGAGGAATTTATAGATTGTAAGTTAAGTATCATAAACGGTCTAGTGTGTGATATTGCTCCTACTGGGCTAAGGGATGTTGCTTTGGGTTTGGTCCTTACCAGTAAGCAGTAGCATTAGGCATACTGCTGATCTTAGTAGCTTTGATAGCTACCATACTACCGGTGGTAGTGGATAATTCCACTGGAGAGCTTTTGTGTTTGGTGGGTTTGACCATATTTATTTGGAACAAGATAAAATTTCTTACAGACCCAAGGGTGTATGGGAGAGTTACGGCTGATGTTAAGAATTAAGTGGACTATTTTTTGCTTACGCATTTCATTGGCAGAGACTAATCTTGACATCAAGATACAAGGTGCAGGATACTTATCTGTTGCATTCCCTATCACAGTCTCTTGTCTGGCTGATAATAAGCTTATAAACAGTCAAGTCTCAGGGGTGTCTAAATTACATAATGATATTCACTTCCTGAGTCACCAAGCCGCAGAATGGAATTGGAAGAAGTTTAACACCCAAATATTAAATATGGGCTGACTGTGCCACAAATGTGATAAATTTGTTTCTTTAAATAAAAAGCTGTTATAAGTGATTAAAAGTGAAGCCTTGAACAATGCTAGGATTTGTAGAAAACTTAACAGGAAGCTAAATATACAATAAATTTGGTTTTTATATGTAACCATGTCTTTTTGAGGCTTTCCCCGAGTCATGGCCTTGGCTTGCTAGTAGAATCTCTTTTGTTAGACATAAGTGGAAACTAAAATAGTCTTTCCCAATCTAGTCCCAATCTGGACATAGTTCATTAATTGTATGAACTTTCCAGAATTCTCAGCAGTGGCTATGTTGGCTGAGGAATTCAGGAAATTAACCTTCATGCATTTATGTTAGGAAACACTAAGGTATAAATTACTACTTTTGACAAGAGGTTGATCTAGATAAACAGTTCTTAAAACATTTTTGTTTCAAGACCCTTTATGTTCTTAAAAATTATTGAGGACCCCATGTGCATGATATCTATTCATGTTTACACTACTGGGAACTAAGAATCATTTTAAAATATTTGACTTTGAAGATCTACAGAATTTTCAAGACCATATTTTGAGAACCACTGATCCAGAGGAATCCAGTTCTGTATTTCACCCAAAAATTGTCTTTTATTCCAATTATTTTTGAAAGGGAACTTAAGTTGGCATAATGGGATATATCTTCTACTTTATTCCCACAGTAATAAACATGGTAAAGATTGATCCAAAGTTACTTTATGATCACCATCTAATACCTTAACCAGTAGACTTTATTGGTTTCCATCATAAAATTAGGTTACCCAAAATTGAACTTAGTACACTATATCAATTAACATCACATTTGATGCTCATTGATCACCTTGGCCCTTATAACTTTTTCATTTAGTTTCAGAAATTATTTTAATTAAAATAATAATTGGCATGTCACAAAGACTGGTTAAAACTTTATTGCCATTAATGCTTCTGGGCCATTTATTTAAAAATATAGCTGAAGGAGCTATACTTCAAAGCATGTTATGCAAGCTATGCAGAGAAATAATGTGAACAATAGTAGCAAAAAGCATTCAGGTAGAAGAGATTGCAAATAGCTGCTTTAATTGGTTCTTTTTCCCATTACTACCATTTGGGAATGATAAAATCTTGTTTTAATTTTTAATTTTACTCATTTGTAAGATGATGGGTGTATTTTAGAACCCATCTTAAAACCAGAATTCTGGGTGGCTCACAACCATTGCATTTTTATTTATTCTAAACCAGGGGTATCAAACTCAAGGCCTGCGGGCCGAATCTCACCCGCGGGGTGCTAAAATCTGGCCTGCGGGACCGGCCTCGAAATATCAAAGGACTGGACAGTGCCTCTGCCAGCCAAAACAGGCTGCGGGAGGGACGCATGTGGCCCCACGTGGCTCATTTTTTGCCTCCACGGCCTCCTGCAGCATTCTGCTGGCCGGAAATGGGCCCCACCAAGGCCCCATGAGGCCCCCATGAGGCCTGTTTTTGGCTGGCAGAGTGCTGCTGGAGGCTGGGGAGGCCGAAAAAAAGGCTGCTTGGGAGTCTTGCGGGGCTTCTGTGTGGCTCATTTAGGCCAGCAGAATGGTGCTGTAGGGCTTTGTCCTATCCTCCCCTACCCTTACCCTGGCCAGCCTGCGGAGGAGAACTACAATGCTGATCTGTCCCTTGAAAAAATCCAGTTTGACACCCCTGCTCTAAACTGTGTATATACACACATTGTGTTGTTTGAGCTCTCAGTTCTTTTTTCTACTTATTAGCCAATAGTATAATGTTAAATGATTAATTTGCATATACATATGTGCACATCAAATGTTATTCCAAAAAGAAAGAGAACCCTTTTGATTCCTGTGAATTAACAGGATGTAAGGATAAAAGATGAAACAGTTGAGATTAAGGATAAGTGATGTCCAGATAATTCAATAGAAGACTTAAATATTTCTCATTAATTCCAAATCAGAATGTGTGTGAAACTCAGTGGAGGAGTTGAAAGTTAGTGGGTACAGCAGGGGTATAGAGTGGTAGAGTGCAGGTCAGCAAAAAGGCAGAGATGAGGGCGGCTTTGCAATGGCCATAATTTCAAAGACCCACAATAACTACCATTTTGTTCAGCACTGTTGTAACCTTGGTCACTAAGCAAATGGGCAGCCATCAAACCAAGGACACTTTTTCAAATAGAGGGCTTGAATAGGGTACTTAGGTTGACAAGAGATACTTCTAACATCAAATCCTTTAAATAGTTTGCCTAGAATAAAAGTCTTCCCTACAGTATTCCTGACACAAGCCCAAAGAACTGCCTCAACCAGCAAGATTTGAGCTCCTAAATTCTATTGTAAAACACAGGCCATTCCATTAAATACATTAAAATATCACACAAACTCTTTGATTGCCAGCTATATACCTCAGCCAAGGGGCAGCATTTAGAGCCACTAATCAACAGGATAGCTTACTCAGACTCCATTAACAGTATGCCTTACTTCTTTCAAAATACACATGGATGGGCAGTCAAAAAGACTGCCAGGTTTATAGCTAAAAGTCATTCATTAGAGAACTTCTTACTTAGATAATTTTGAAGTTAATTGTCAAAGCGATTGTCTTATTTGAATATTTTACTGAACAGCTTTTGTGCGCTCTGGTATGTTGTATGTTTCTCCTGATATGTTGTATTTTATATAAATATATTGTGATTCAGTATCTTTGCTTGATTAATCAATAAACAATGGACCCAATGCAACAATTTGTATTATTAGTCTTGATAATTATACTTTTCAAAGTTTTCAAAACCTATGTCTCAGATATGATACTTTAGTAGTCAATAGGATCATCTCCAGGCTTGTTTAGTTCTTAAATTGGTAGGTTTGTTAAGCTATAAAAATGTCATCACTGCTGGAAGGAATTCTATAACAGTGAAAATTAAATAGTTGCAACAGTCGTAATAAATATAAATTTTACTAGCAACTTCGGAAAAAGTATACAGCATAGAACTTGATAATTTATTTTTCTCTGTTTTAAATTTTAGGTTACATCCAAATATGCCATCATGTTTATAACTGTACAATACAATGTTACATACAACATAGGTAAATATAAAATATAATTTGTTCTATGTCTGATTTTCATTTTTAAAAATATTTTTTCAATACAGTCTTCTACATATTTAGTCAAATACTCTCTTAGAGTGTGTATATATGTGCATGTGTAGGCATGCCAGGTTATTCGTAGGGTTGCAGTCTTAAATGATTTTGTCTAAATGCTGCTGTACAGCAGGATCCTCTGCATTATTATTACAAAATTATGTTGTGCTGTTTTCTCCAAATAACAAATACATTATAAATACATTATTAAAGGACATACAACATGACCTTATAGATTTTAAAGCAGAATTTATTGCAGAGATGTTAGTAACACTGTTGAAAATTTGCATGTTCTCTTGATGTATAATAAGATTCTAAATATAGCCTGTACTGCTATTAATAGTAAGATATTGTGCATTTCAGATGATGGATCTGACCCAGTTCATTTCTATGAGTATGGTCCAAAAGACATGGCCACCATCTTCTTCTACATGCTTATAGCCATTATTCTGCATGCAGTGATTCAGGAATATATACTAGATGTAAGTTTACAATTATTACATAAATGTGAATATGTGAAATCAATTCAGTTCCAAGTTCTTCAAAATACATTTATTAAATAATATGCTCTAATATTGGATATGAAAGATATAAGATCCCTTTTGATATAGTAGTTACAGTACTGGACTGAAAATGGAGATACCATAAGATCTAGTCCTCTCAGGCATGAAAACTGGCTGATTAACTGGGCAAATCCCTTACCTTCAGCTCAACTCCACACACAAGGTAATAGTTGTAGAAAAAAATAGAAGCATGAGCATTATGTAACAGTGCCTTGAATTATGTAAAATAAAGGTAGGACATACATTTCATAATTTATATTAATAGAAGTTTAATAATATCTAATAAACATCTCCCAGATTTTTTCATTATCAACCATGTATCTACATTACAGAAGAATATTTCTTTAGAATGAACAGTTTACCTGCAGATTCTAAATTAATTGCTCTGGATTGTGTTTTTTTTCCTAAAAGTAAAGGGGTTGGTGTGAATTTTGAAAGCATGTTATGCAAATTTTCACAAAGTAGCATTCAAAATTTACCAGAAGGCAAAAAAGTAAAGATGTTGTCAAGAATACTGCCTGCCATTATTACTTCAGCTTTTGCTTTTTGGAACAGATAGTATTAATGGCAGACAATATTCTTGATAGGTAAATATAAAAGTCAACATCTTTACTTTTTTGCCTTCTGGTAAATTTTGAATGCCACTTTCACTTTTGGGAACCGATAGACATACTCTTTTATTTGCTGATAGTGGCTAACCTACATGATCTTGATTCCCTACTTTAAATCCTGCTAGCTTCCTATATTTTTTTAAAATAGAACCTAAAATGTTTAAAAAGTAAGAAAAGAGCCAATTCAATCGCCTTTGAATATAATGAAATTAAGTATATATGTTACACGTATTATAATATTTGTTCTCTAATATTTTATTTGGCCAGGTTTTTTTTTTACTATATAACACTGAATATCATAGCTTTATAATTAGTCTAAATATATCACATAGTCTATGTCAGTTTATATTTTGAATAGTAATTCAGAGTTTGAACCTTTTCCAAATTTTGGACCAGAACTTATTAAGTGCTTCTTCTCTGAAAATGGGCATGTGGGCAAGATGGGCAGCTTTCAACATATTGAATCCCTAATCAAATTATACTGGATTATGGAATAATATGATTTCTGTGACAATTTCATTAAAAAATTATAAGCCACACTATGAATTTCTTGTGAAATGAATACAAATTATATCCATCAATGAATGGATTCCTTATTTCTTCAATAAGTCAATATTCAAGTTTAACTTGGCAGTCTGCTGATAAAGGTAATTTATTATTTCTCTATTAAATATTATTTTAAAATCTAAGCTCTGCTTTATTTCTTTTTTGTTGCTGTTTTTATTTTAAGCATAATGTAAGTTATTTTAAGTATAAAAAGTGTGAGTTAAAGTGTTTGTATTTGTTATTTTTAATAATTATTAAAACATAGCTTGGCTGAAAGTCATTGTCCAATTATGAAAAATAAAACCTCAAGCAATGAATTTAATATAAAAATTGGGACATGATTCATATCTTTCTACCCTAGGATAAAACTATAGTGCTTGTTCTGGGACTCTCTGCATTGCAATATGCAATCAGAAACTTAATAAATAAACCACTGAAAGACTCCTTAGAAACATCACTTTCTGTCTTGTCTTCCTATCTTCTACTCTCGAATGAAAACAACAGTTGCCTTATATTTGTTTTGTATTGGTCAGTAGATTTGGTTTAGAGATATATAGCTCAATGTATGATATGCAGAGATAGAGTAATTGTGCATTCCAAACTTACACTACCATCTTCTCCCCTTTCTTTGGCACATCCCAGCTGAAAATGTTCAGGAGTAGAAAATATACTTATAAGAACACACACAAACTAAGACTAAAACTAATTTCAGATTGTGCTTCAGAGCCTGGTGTGTTCCAGCATACAAAATGTGATCCACTAAGAAAGACTATGTGAAAGCATACGGTAGTACAGAGATACAAAACTGATGCTTCAATTAAGATCCAAGACAAAGTCATTTGGGTCATTGAATATAGTCTTGGTTTCTAGATTGGACTGTGAAATTCAAATGCCCGTTTGGCACAAAGAGTGGTGATTTGCTTTCTACGTAGATGGCTTTTCTAACACTTTAAGCAGCAGCTGTCAAAGAGCTGGTCTGTCAACTATTAGAATATGTGGGTCACACATTAATTTTTACTTACCTAATAAGAAAAATGAACGGTAAAGTCCAGCTTAGCATTTTGTAGTATTGGATATAAATGCTGAACTCGAGATAACCTAGCATTCTTCTTGGGGAGGCTAACATATTCACTAGAAAAAAAAATTGAACATGATTAAATTAATACTTCTGGTGTTTGTTATTTTTTTCTCCTAGAAAATTAATAGACGCCTGCACTTGTCAAAAACAAAACATAGCAAATTCAATGAGTCAGGACAACTAGCCTTTTTCTACTTGTTTTCGTTTGTGTGGGGAGCAAGTATTTTGTCTGCAGTAAGTAAGTCAAATTATCTTTTTGCAAATTAATTTAAATGAACATTTGCCTAAAATATATCAAATCCTTTAACCTTATATTTTTCTCCTTAGGAAGAATTTACAACAAATCCAACTTTGTTATGGAAGGATTACCCTCATTCTCATATGTTGTAAGCTTTTTTATTTAGTTCTTTTATTTGTGCTAGGCATTTTGTTTCCTTGTTGAAATTAAGAAACATATCTAGGTTATTAATTCTCAGGCATTTGAGTATTAAAAGATGGAACATGGAGAGATCTATGAATTAATTGTCAAGGAACTATTTTTAAAACATTTATATTAGGATCTAAATGTTTTTAGACAGTGAATTCTACAAAAAATTCTACAAAACATTTCTTCCTTAGATTACTATTTAATCTTGCCTTTTCATTCTTATCTTCTTCAATTATTATATTCTTTCAGTTTAGACAATTCTTCAAAAAGGCAAGGTTTAGGGTTCCAATAATTTAAATTATTTTAGTTTCACTTTCTTTAACATGAATTTCATCCTTTAATCTTAAAACATTTAAGATTATCTGAATATAGATTCATTTTAATTTTATATAATGTAATATGTATTCATTTGAAATTTGATTAAATTATTAATCATATACCTGACTTGAAAATTGGCATCTACATTTATGTATAAAAATTTATGTGTAAGTTTCAGCTACAGCCAACAATCTTGGCCTCCCTAAACAAAATTGGGTTCATGGCTTCTAATTGTCATGATTTGAATAGAAAGAATAATTATTGAATGCTATGTATACATCTTTTATATATATACTTTTCTTTTTAGTTTTCAGGCTAAATTCTTCTATATTTGCCAAATTGCCTATTGGCTCCATGCACTTCCAGAACTGTACTTCCAAAAGATTAGAAAGGTATAAATTGTAACTTTACTTCAGGCATTATATTTCTTTTATTTACTTTCATTTATAATGATATAGGATGGTATTCTAAATAAGGAGAAGAAATAATGATGGAGAGAAAAGTACTTTTCTCAGCTTGGTAAGAGATTCGTACTATACAGGAATATATTGTTGGGTAGGGAAAGTAATGCAATAGATTATTTTGACTTTCAATTTATTTATGTCCTTATTAATAGTGCTTTTGAAAAACGTGCTTTCAATAGTAAAGTATTCATAAGTTATTACAATGTAAAACCATAGAGAAAAGGAAAACTAACACAATTCATATTAAAATGTTTGCTTTTATTTTTGTAACTTGTCTTTTCCATTTCATATTTCTAGGAAGATATTCCAAGACAGTTGCACTATATTTGTCTTTATACTGCCCATATATCTGGTGCCTATATCTTGAAGTAAGCATTTATTATTTTTCATGTTTCTAGACCTCCATCAAGGATTGTCTTTTATAGTGTCCAAAATACTGTTCAATATATTACCAGTAGTCCTCAACTTACAACCATAATCTTAGTGACCGTTCAAAGTTACAACAGTGCTCAAAACAGTGTCTTACAACTGTTCCTCACATTTATGACTGTCACAGCAATCCCACAATCGTGATCAATTTGGGCAATTAGCAACCAGATTTGCTTAACAACCATGGCAAGAAAGGTTGTAAAATTGGGTGTGACTCACTTAACCACTTTACTTAGCAACCAAAATTCTGGTTTCAATCATGGTCGTAACTTGAAAACTAGGTATTAATATTATATTCTATTAAGAAAAGGCATTTAGTATTTTTGTGTCATAGTTAATCTGCTATCAGATTTGATCATGGCTTAACAAGCCATAAAATGCTCATCCTGATAGCACAGGGATGTCAAACTCAATTTCATTGAGGGCTGCTTCAGGGCTGTGGTTGACCTCAGAGGGTGGGCATGGCTGACTGGGTGAGTGTGGCTGACTGGGTGGGCGTGGCCAGCTTGATGTCACTTCCCAAACTTCTGGCATGTTTCCTCTTTGCACTGGGTAGACTGGGCCAAAGTGACATGGGCTGGCCCCTTACATTTTCCAGGACATTTTCCATCACGGGCCGGATCCAGCCTGCGGGACTTGTGTTTGACACCCCTGTGATAGCACAACTAATAGTTTGTCTGATATGTAAGATACACTGAACCTTATTCATTGTTGTTGAACTTTGTTAATGAATCAATAATATTCAGAACGAAATATTTACTTTTTACTTTTCAGCCTTCAGCGCTTGGGTCTAATTTTGCTGGTACCTCATTATCTTGTAGAGCTCATTTTTCACGCTTCACGTCTTTTCTACTTCAGTGATGAGAATAAACAGAAAGGGTAATCTTGTTTTTTAAATTTTCCTATTACTGTCAGATAATTAATTTAGCTTCCTTTTTTACAGTTTTCTTAGTCCTCGTCAGCCTGTTTTCTTTTACTATATTTGCAAAAATGAAAAACATTTTAGAACCAGGTTACTTGGAAAACTTACCTTGTTTAAGATAGACCTTACGGGTCTTGCTTTTAGTATATCACCAAGAAAGATAATGATTTCACTGATCTCTACCTATCATCCACACTTCTTTTTCAGTGGAATTTCTAGTTTTTTTCTCCAAACTTAGCTTCATGCCCTGTTGAACAATTATGTATTAACTACTTAATCATTTTTATGATTTCACTAATAAGCATCATTTTGCTAATGTTAAGACTTTCAGTGCATATATTCCTATGCCAGTGAGTTTTTTTTTAATTTTAAAAAGGTTTTTAATTTTAAAAAAATACGCAATCCCAAAATTCAAAACAGAGAGTAACAGAAATGAAGATATTTTCCTTTTGATTTTTTAAAAAAATTGTTGAAAAACCACTTGGCCTTCCTGAAAACTTCATACAAGCATACTGATTTTGCAAAAATTCTTCACACACCTAGATTTCTCATTTGGTAAAAACATGTTTGATTATGAAGAGTGCTTTTGTTCAACTAAAATTAAGATTTGAATCACTATTTAATTATCATGTATTTAAAGTGATTTGCTTTCCTCTTTGGTTTTTATTCTATGAGATAGTTACTGTTTTAAAAAGTAATGTTTTCCGTTATAATGCCTGATGTCATAGATATGCTCGTACAATGTCTAGCAAAAGTATACTTTTTAAAAAATTGTCATAGCCCATGATACAGCTGTGTTCATATTATTTAGTGACATAAAGCAATTGGTAGTGAAATAATTGTCATTTTTCTTTTCAGATTTACCCTTTGGGCACTTTTATTTGTAATGGCTCGTCTTTTGACCCTGACTTTGTCAGTTCTCACCTTTGGATTTGGTCTCACAAAAGCAGAAAATCCTGGTTTTTCTGTAGCAGAAGGAAACTTTAACATACTCACAATTAGGTATACATTTTTCTGGAATAGCTATTTTAGATATTCTTTACATTCACAGATCCAAAAATAGAAAATTGTGGCTAGGAAGAAATAGTCTTTCTTTATTCTTATTACTATTTAAACTACCTTTTATTTTGGTAGATAATATGTAAACCTATCTCAGAAACTTTTCTGCAATCCTTATAATGTTGGTCATATTAAACAATCATATGAGTGCATTACTGTATTCTTTGTAACATGAAACATCAGCCCTTTGGCTATCCTAATAGCAAGTAAGGTACCACTATAAAATTCATAGCTAACTTCTTTATTTTTCCAATACATACCTTTTTGGTATGAGTGGGAAGGATGCCCTCCAATCAGTATTGATTCCTGGCAACAGCCTAACTGCAATCCCTGCAGTTTTCTTGGCAACATTTTCAGAAATAGTTTGCCATTGCCTTCTTTCTAAGGCTGAGAGAGTGGTTGATTCAACTGAATCTAACTGGCTTTGTGTCTAAGTCAGGATTAAAATTCAAAGCTTCCTTGGTTTCTAATCTGGTACCTTAACCTCTAGACCAAACTGATTCTCAAATGCATATCAAAATGCTTATTGGAAAAGAAATTTTCAGCTATTTGATACAACACATGCAAATTGGAACATATTGATGCAAAATTCATTTTTCAACTATCATATCTAATAGCCATTATCTTAAACATATATCATATTATCTAGGAATGTGTGCTATTTAAAGACATATGATATGTGCTAGCCTACTGATAAGAAAGCATTTGGATTGTACATGTAACTTTATTTTATTTTTTGAATGGTCCATCTTTAGAGAGAATCTTAAAAATCATCATAACGCTATTATTCTAACTATATAACTGTTTTCTGTTAAACTAATTAGAATTAGCTGTTTGGCTGCAATTTGTCTGACTCAGGCTTGGATGATGTGGAAATTCATCAATTTCCAGTTAAAGAAATGGAGAGAACATGCACAGAATCAAATTCCTAAGAAAAAAACAAACACAAAAATTAAGTCTACAAAAAAAGAGTCCTGCAGATGTAAGTATAGCCCTCACAATTATACCAGTATCAAAAGCACAAATATATATTACTAGAGTGACAGTTGCTAGTTAAATAATACCACTTGATTTTCTTGTTTAACATTGAATGGAGACTTATGGCATAGAATGTTACTGTTACCTCTAAATGACCAAAAACTGACATGATTTTTATATAATACAAAATTAAACATTTATTTACAGATAGTCATTGTTTAACACATTTGGAACTGACAAGTCTGCTACTAAGTGTTGTAATAATAAGACATCATATGGCTGCAATAGGCTTATGATCTCACTTTCACCACGCTTGTCAAGCTATTCATCTGCGGTCATTAACCAAGACCTAATTGTGACTTGCAATTTTACTGCTGACTTCTCAATTGACTTTTCTAGTCGCAAGATGATTGTAAAGTGCACACATGATGATCATGTGACCATGAAATGATACAATACTTATGAATACCCACCAGCTGCAAAGTGCCTAAATCTTGATCATGTGACTGGTAACTGCAAAAGTCGAAGGACCATTCACAAAGTTACTTTTTCAGGACTGTCATAACTTTGAACAGTTGCTAAATCAGGCAGTTGTTAAGTGAGGAGTACCTACCCTGTTTCTCCAACAATACGGCCTCCCCCAATAGGAAGTCCCAGCATGTTTTATAGGCATGAAATGAAATTAAGCCCCTCCCCCCAAATTAAGGCCTATATTAAAACATGCGAAATGGGGGGGGAATGGTGGGGGGGGCTTGCCGTTAGGAAGTACTTTTGTTGCACACCCGGATATGGTGCTGCCTGCGTTGCCCCCGATAGAAGTGCCCCACCAACGCCGAGGTCAACATCCAAGCCGTCGCCGCCTGCCCGAAGATGCAAGGGGGGTGGGAATTAAGTCACCCCCAAAAAGACGGCCTAGCCATTTTTTCGGGGCTCAAAAAAAAATAAGACCCGGCCTTATTATATGAGAAACACGGTATATTCAACTTTTTTAAGGCTAACTCTGTGCAGCATACAATGTTAAAACCACTAAAACACTAAACAAAAAAGCACAGGCCAAAAGATAGGTGTTAATTCTGTAACAATACTGCACATGGGACCAACAGCACTGTCTAACCTAAGACTTGGGGAAGAGCCATATTTTAAGGGCTTTTTCAGACAGTCTTGAAACAGATCTCTGGGTGAATGTTCCTTCAGAGGGCAGGGACTACAACAGAAAGGCATGATTTCCAGTTCCCATTTCATACCACTGTTTATTGGATGGGATCTGGAGCATGCCAACTCTGCCCAATTATGCAGGAAAAACATAAAAAATAGCAATAGCACTTAGACTTATATATCACTTCATAGTGCTTTGCAGTCCTCTCTAAGCAGAGTCAGCATACTGCCCCCAGCAATCTGGGTCCTCATTTTACTGACTTCGAGAGGATGGAAGGTTGAGTCAAACTTGAACTGGTGAGAATCAAACTTCCGGCAGCCAGCAATCAGCAAAAGGAGCCTGCAGTAATGCATTCTAACCACTGTGCCATCTCAATGGAAGATGACATCTTTCTACAAATTTGTATGCAGATTTACTAATTATGTGCAGTTGCATACTGATTCAGAAAAAGTGACCCTTTCAGATTATTCAGGTAGAATTATTATTAATGGTGCCCCCAAAAGGTGATTGCATCATTAGGTATATAATTAGCCAGGAAAGGTGCCCTAGCCCCACCTTCTAAGGTGCTTTCGTTTTGAGGAAATACTTTCCTATGGATGATTAGAAAATTTGTTGCTGCTGCTACTACCCTTTTATTATCAATGACTATCTCCCTTCTGCACTGGCCCTTTGGGAAACCATTAGAGAATTAAAGGGGAAGTCTTCATCTCGCTATGGGCTAAATACAAAAAGTGAAGCCAAACAAAAACTTTGGGAGTCAGTATTTGAGCCAAGTGGAAACAGGTGCTTAAAAGGCCATTGGTCATCCTGGAGGTGGTTAGATCTCACCTCCACTCTATTATATATCCTCCCTTGTACTTTTTTTTTGGGGGGGGGGGTATGGGTGTGTATGAGATTTAGGCATAAAATGTGTATCTTAAATTTGTGCAAGCTTTAAGGCCTTATTTTGTCATTGCAAAACAACCCAGATCTGCAAATGATCTCCATTTCCATTAGTTGTGTTTTCTGTGGCCTCAGATTAAGAAAAAGTGTAGTCCTCATTGTTAATTATTACCCACACCTTATCCAATATTACATAAAAAGGCTGACTTCAATCTACTCTTTGTGTACAGTAGGTTATAGAAGAATAGAGTAGAATTAGAAATAGAAATACACTTTGAGTGTACATAAAAGAATACATTCATAAAAGATACATTCATCAAGAGTGAAGAATCATCAGGTACCACACTTAATAATAGTCATAGGGTACAATAAGCAATCAAATCATATTAGGAAACAGTCAATATAAATCATAAGGATACAAGCGACAAAGTTACAGTCATACAGTCACAAGTGGGAGGGGATGGGCGATAAGGAGTGATGAGAAAATTAATAGTAATAGTAATGCAGACTTTGTAAATAGTTGGACAGTGTTGAGGGAATTACTTGTTTATTGATGGCATTTGGGCAAAAACCTATCCTTGTGTCTAGTTGTTCTGGTGCACAGTGTTCTATAGCATCGTTTTGAGGGTAGGAGTTGAAACAGTTTATGTACAGGATATGAAGGGTCTGTAAATATTTTCACAGCCCTCTTTTTGACTTCTGCAGTATACAGGTCCCAGATTGAAGCAAGACTAAGCAGAAGCCATTCTCTGTATGAAAAACATTATTTGATATAATTAACAAAATGTATTAGCATTCCTAATTTACATATGTTTTATATGTTAAATATGTTCAATTTGCTACTTCTGAAATAAAAAATTCCTTATTACATGTATAACTATTAATGCCACCTATCCCAAATCCTAATGTACTATTTATCTTTTTTTTTTTCATAGCTAACTTCGTAAACGGAACAATAAAATCTGAAGAGGGCATATCACCTAGGAAAAGAAGATCAAAATTTTTGTGAAGAGCACAGATAAAGAGGACATTGATTTAATTGAAGACTTTTTCACCTTAAATAGAAAATCTGCATTACACTGACCATAGAACAACTCTATTTGGCTATTTGGGCTAAAGGACATTGGTTAAAATAATATATTTTTAAGTGTATATTCATCAAAACAATTTTATGATGAAAATATTATTTTAAACTCATTTATTTAACACAATCATCTTGAAAATAGGATATTTTATTATAGTCTGACCTCTAATTACAATATTAATAGAACAGCATGGGGGAATCTAATAAACCAGAGTTGTCTTTTATTTGGAACTTTATTCATTTTATAAACGGTAGTTTTAGAATTAAAGTTAGATTTATTTTGCAATTTTTTTCTAAATTTCCTATATACCTTATTAAAGTGCTTGAAATTCCTTTTCAGGTTAGAGGGCAAATTATTTTTTTATTACCTCTCCATTTGGTTAAAGGCAATGTTTGAACTGTCATTAGAACATCCATTAATACTGTCATTTGAAAAATTGTCCAACGATGTGCTTTCAAACAATTCCCATCATGTAATAATTTAAGGTTTAATTCTGAAGAATGGAAACCTTTTTAATTCCAAAAGCTGGTTTTATATTAGTGGATTCTGAAGTATTTGTAAAAAAGATTTGAAACTACATGCTTCAACATGGTGCTAAAAAGTGCTGGTTTATTTAGAGATCCATGAAACTTATATATAATTAATCTTTAATATGCTGAACAAAAAAACATTTTGAAATTATTTTCCTAGTGTGAAATAATGTCAAGTTGTAGCATTAGATACTGAAAAGACATTAATGAATCCTGCATTTTTGTCAGAAAACAATGTTAAAAATACCAGGCCCTGCAATATAATTTTGCCATTTGGTCTGATCCTGCATCATACCAAAAGTTTTTATTACCAAATAATAGCTTTCCTTGAATGCTTATTGTAATAGCTTAAGTGCACATACTTACTAAGTAACAGGACATTTTTGACTGTGCCAAAATCTCCTGTTATAATTCTTTCAAAAGGGTAGGCCAACTGGTGCCTTCCAGAACTATCCATTCTAATTAGGGGTGATAGAAGTTAAAGTCCGGAATATCTGAAGCAAACCAGGTTTTCTTCCTTTTTTTTTGGAAAAATGAGTTGTACTTGAGATAAGCAATTGGTTGGAATTCAAAACTCTACAGCTTTTTTGAAATTGCTTTTATTACCCCTGTAGATTTTGCAACCTGGCATGGAAACCATTCAAAGTGGATTTTTTAAATACCTATGTCATATAATATGATTTACTGGACCTACTGTTAGAAAATAATGTTTGAAGTGCTACTGGATTTATAGAATTTAGTTCACAATTTTTTGTATTATGAATATAGACTTCTAGATCTAAAACAATCGTACTGTTTTCAAATTTCTATTTGAGGATTTTCTCTTCTGCTTTCTCAGGTTATCTGTTCAAAACTGGAGTAGTTTTATTTAGTTAATGTGGATTAGTCTGCAGTTCTGAAACTAGAGTTCATAACTCCATGGCTACTTTATAATTCACAACTAAACAGTTAGAACCTTGTCTGTTTGTAAATCTTGTAGCACCAGCCGCCAATCAAAGAATAAAGGCGATGTAGATTTAATTATTTTTCTATCGTTTGAATTTCTAAAAATTCTTGATAGTTGCTTAAACCTAATTGAATTCTGCAAGTGGCTATTATCAGCCTGGCATTATCCCTATGAGCTAAGACTGGTTCCCAGAATTTCTACCAACTTTATTTATTATTATGGTAGCTGGGATATCTTGAGAGTTATAGTTCCAAAATACCTGAAGGTGCCTTTTGTGGAAAGGCTGCTGTAAAGATCATAAAGAAGTCTTCACCAATAGAATATTTGGGAGTACTCTCAGCATCCCTAGCAATTGGGGATGTTAGAGAATATAGTCTTAAATATTTGTAGAGAAGGCTGATGTAACAGTTCAGTCTACATAGTACTAAAATTATATTTGTTATATATCTTATTAATCTGATATCTTGGCAGGCATAGCTGTTATGTAAGAAAAGTCTATTCAGTTACATTAGGGATAGGAAGTGAAAGATTTGGGGGGCTGCAATTCAAAAATATGATCACTTGCATATTTCCAGCTCATATTGAGTGGTTTTCTCTTTCTTAGCACTTTCAGATTTTTGGATTGCTAAAACCAGCATGGCTACATTGTCATAGAGAAAATGAATTGCCTTAACGTTGCAATCTGGAATATTCTAGGCATCAGATTTGGTGGGTTTTTTTTAAGATAACTCTATGTACCATAAATATTTCACAATATAATATCAATAGGTTCATTGCTGGGAGTACAAATAGCAGAGGTGCCAAAGATGTCTGTTTTATATGGACACTGACTGACTGTGTCTGTTACATTCCCCATTCTAAATAATATCTCAGTTATAACAAGATACTGGTTTTCTTTAAGATTTGATATACTTGTTAATAATATTTGACACTTAAAGTACTAATAAGAAAGAGTTAAAAATGGTTCTCTGGTTCTGATAAAATGTTTATGATTGATTTGGAAGTCAAGATAGCTGCCTCACAGTCCATTGTAAAATTACCTCGCCTTGCCTCCTGACCATGTTCCTGTGAGAAACAAGTGGCTTACATTTTTTAAAATTTCTCAGTACCATTCAATAAATTCAGTCACATGTATTTAGGTGTTATTATATAGAATGAAATTGTTCTTTTATTTTGTGAAATGGGGACATTTTTTTATATCACTTAAACATTTTCATGCAAAATGCTCTTCCTGATTTGATTCCTTTTTCTTCATTTGTCCTATTCTGTGTACCAATTTGTTTAAAGATTTTATCTGCTGACCTCATAATACCCATTTTGCTGTAGAATGAGTATTTTTAAAGATTTTGATGGAAATTTATTTATATAATCACTTCATTTTATAGAACCTTAATACTAATGAGCTGTTTTGCTAAAAAAAGAGAAACCCTTCTGATTAATTTTCACTGTACTTCTCGTAAGATGTTGCTTTCTCTAGTTAGCATGTATATGCTTCTGGACTTGTTCCAAATAGGACACTGGTTATATCTTCATCTTAATCATGAACATTTGTGTTCATGTAAAGTCTTTTATGTTACTAATTTCAAATAAAATAAAATGGAAAATTCCTTTCTCAAAGCATAATGCTATAAGATTTATTAGTTATTTTAGAAAATAGATGTGGCCTTTTAATTCATAGAGTCAATTTGTTCTGTGGCTGGAACTACATCCTTATAGATCATAGTTCAACTACTGTATTGCCATGATAATTAAATGTTTAACTTAGCCTACAATCTCTTCTATCCCTGTACACTTCAGAAATTTGATTCCCTTTTTTAAATTCTAGAAAATTTAAGTTCAAGTGTTTTAAAATGTATGTTACCTATAATATCCTTGAAATGCAAACATTTTGTGTGTGTGTGTGTGTGTGTGTGTGTACACCTTGTTTCTTTGAATTGGTAGAATAATTTCTTTAGCAGCATGGGAGGAATATAAATGGAATGTCATACTGTCCTGTGTCATTGCACTGATTCCACAGACGGATGTTTTATGTACTATCAGATATTAAATAAAAGGTGGGCCTGTGCCTTAAGCTTGTTTTAATATGTTCTATTTTTCCAATTACTGGAGTATCAAATGTGTGTGTGTAGGTGTGTGTGTGCATATATACATATCACACACACACACACACACATATTCTTTTTTACATATATAAACTCTTTAACAACTAAAACTTGAAGTTTAAACAGTATCAAAGATTGTATTTCCATGTCAGAGGAACCTCTGTGCCTTTACTACAAGCATTTGTAGCCAAAATTTAATGCTGTTCTCTACATTTTTTCCATTATAAATCTGCTATTCATCAGAACATTCCAAAATCTCAGATGTGATCTCAAGACACAAGTTAAACACACTGCTTGGATTCTATAGAAGAAACATATTGAATTTACACTCAAGATTGGAGTTCTGATGGTAACACAGTAGTAAGAATACAGTATTGCAGGCTAACTGCCCACAGCCAGGAGTTGAATCCTGATAGCTCAAGGTTCACTGAGCCTTCCATCCATCTGAAGTTGCTAAAAGGAGAACACAGATTGTTGGGTGGGAATATGTTTATACCGCTCAAGAAAATGATGTAAAGCACTATGGAGCAGTATATACCGTATTTATCGGCGTATAACACGCACAGGCGTATAACACGCATCTTCATTTTAAGAGGGAAATTTCAGGAAAAAAAATTAAATTTCTAAATAAAAACTTTGAAGCAAAATAAGGGTAGCTCAGAACTTTTTTTTTATTAATATTATTACCACTTATAAGGTAAATCAGTGGTCCCCAACCTTTTTTGTACCAGGGACCGGTTTCAAGCAGAAAATTTTTGCAAGGACCGGGGGGGGGGGGGGAGAGAAGAGAAGGAGGCTTCGCTCTCTCGCTGCTCCACCATCCAAGGAAGAAACTGCTTCAAAGAAGCGGGGGGGGGGGCTTTTCCTGTCGCCGCAGCTATTCCGAAGCGCCCGTTTCACCCCCACTCCCACCCCGCGCGCGCGCTTCAATCCACAGTGTCCCATTCTGCCTGCCTTCCTGCCTGCCTTAGTTTCTGGTTGTTTGGGAGCAGCTTCGGCTGAGAATAATAACTATTCGCCTCTTTTACTCAGCCGAAGCTGTTCCGATTCAACCATTAACGAAGGCAGGCAGGCAGGCAGAACGGAGCACTGCGGGCGGGCGGGCGGACGGGGTGGGGGTGGGGGAGAAACGGGCGCTTTAGGGAAGCTGCGGCGACAGGAAAAGCCCCCCCCCCGCTTCTTTGAAGCAGTTTCTTCCTGTGCTGGTGGAGGAGCGAGAGAGCGACTGAGAGAGCTGACCCAGAGAGAAGGACAGGCTTCGGTTGCTTCCTCCCTCCCCTTCTTTCATTTGTGTCCTTGATCCCCGATCCCAGCAGCATTCACCGAAGGTGAAGAAAGCCGCCATTTTTTAAAAAAAAAAATTCTTTGCGGCCCGGTAGAGAGTGCTCCACGGCCCGGTACCGGTCCGCGGCCCGGTGGTTGAGGACCCCTGAGGTAAAAAGTGCAAAATAATGCCCTCTGCTCGCACCGCCCGGCCTCCGCTCGCACCGCTCGCACCGCCCGGCCTCCGCTCGCACCGCCCGGCCTCCGCTGGCTTCTTAACATTATATCGGCGTATAACACGCATACATCATTTGCCCCCTATTTTCAGGGGGAAAAAAGTGCGTGTTATACGCCGATAAATACGGTAAGTACTATTGCTATTAATAAGATTATAAACTGGTATGCATTTATATAGAAGCCTCTTTAAATTGAATCTAAAAATATTAGTTGGAGTCTGGAGCTTGCTGTGCACCAAATGAAATGATGGCTAGAATAATGAACTCATACTGAGAACTCAATTTCTACAATAGATGTCTTAAGAGTTTCATATTAAAATCCAGCCATTTTTTCCCTCTACGATTTCATATTTGTAGATACATTTACCAATGTGATCCTTAATATGATTACTCAGAAATCAAGCTCTATGATCTACAACCAACAGCAAATGCACAGTCAACGTTTAAACTGCTTGAGTATTTTACATTCATCCAGGCTAAATATCTCTTCAATCAAACTAGCTTTCAGAGCAGTGTATATTTTAAAAACATATGACTTACGAACAAAATATACTAGCCATTCCAATCCAACCTCATAGGCATTTGTGATTTTGATGTCTTGCTTGAATGGCCATCTACCCTCCCTTAGCCATGGAGAAATAAGATCCATTCCCAACATAAATAAGCTTTCTTGTTAATAGTACAGTTATCCTCCTTTAACCATTGTAATTACTGACCATACAATAATTAAGAGTATTGTTAGAAATGTTAATGGTGTGTTACTTTTTATAATCTCTTATAATTCATAGGGTAGAGCTGCCTATACTTATATCATCAGTTTCTGCTTAAATGCATATTGATTTTTTTAAAACTTCCAGGGCGGGGGGAAGCCATATTGCTTTAGCATATTTTCTTATGCATTTTTAGGGAATGAAGTTATTTAATTGTAAAGCATTGCAACTAGTGTGAAATGATAAAGCTGTCATTTGCTTGGTAATGTGCCCAGAAGATGACCTTTCCCTGTGGAACAAAATGTTTTGTGTTCCATAATTGTTTGTTCGAATATTATGTTCACTTTGGTTTATTTTGGTAACATTTAAATCACAAATTCCTATGCTTTGAATCATATAAATTCACAAAACAAACTGCATTTAGAAAAGTAAATTATCATTTTAGGTGAATTTATGAACTGCATTTGTGAAGAGGGTTTAAACAGGCTTGGAGATGTGTCTTGTCATTTTCATGACAAACCAAGAATTAAGAAGTAGAAGGCATAGCATTTCAAACTACATTGGTGGGCTTTTCCAAAAGTTATTCTAAAAAACATGTCTATCAAGACTTAACCCCATGACAGATGCTGAATTGTCTACATGGGGATTCTTAGATATACAGTAAATATATCTCTAATCTATGTTTTTTAGCATTACTGCTTCATTTTTACAGAACTTGAAAGGTAAATAAAAGACTGTCAAACAAAATCCTCTATTTCTAATATTATATGGAAGCTGGATGCAATCTTCAGTCAGTATATTATATATGATTTACCTCTTCAGTCTGAGGACCAGAGGTGGTATTCAGCAGGTTCTGACCAGTTCTGGAGAACCGGTATCGGAAATTTTGAGTAGTTTGGAAAACCGGCAGATACTATCTCTTAACTGGTCCCGCCCCCACCTATTCTCTGCCCCCCAAGTCCCAGCTGATCGGTTGGGTCTTCTTTTGTTGCCCTGCACAGGAGAATGGAGCCGGAAAGCAGGTTATTGGGCTGGCTAGGGAATGGAGATTTTACAATATCCTTCCCCTGCCATGCCCACCAAGCCATGCCCACCAAGCCACGCCCATCAAGCCATGCCATGGCCACAGAACTGGTAGTAAATTTGAATCCCATCACTGGTGTGCCCCCTATAGGGCCCTATCCCTTGCTTTAACTCTTAACAAAACCCAATAGATGTTGAGTAGCACAATTCAGACAGTTATTTTCAACCTGGATCAATATAGTCCATTTATGTCCAAGTGCTCATAGAAATGATCTACAGTATTCATGCAATTTAGTAACTCAATAACTGTCATTAATGTTCACCTGGCTCAATGTTTTTCCAAATTAAGTTATAAATATTGCATTCAATAGATAGTAACAAACATCCCGTTTTTTATTGCTGACCTTGTTTTTGACCTCTTATCTCAAAAGCAGTGAATAGCTATAATTATTTCATTTGGCCTCAGAATTCTGGCATATAATTACTCTTAAAAGGACAGATCTCATTATCTCAACCAACAACTGAGAAGACTACTGAGCATTTGGGTTATTAAAAAATATGTAAACTAATTTTTGATAGTGTGGAAACTTCCCTTGTTTATGAAGAAAAATATTTTTATGTAATCAGTCAGCTTTCGTTTTCTCCTTAAAAGTGTTTGAGAAACACATACGGATTAAACTGTTAAAAGCCTTGAGTCTAAATCCTTAGATTCAAGCAAACTGATAAGTCTGTTGCTGTGGGTACTCCAAGAAACTAGTGTTAACTCTTAATGGTATACTGTTTAGATAATTAAATTCTGACTTTTAAAAATGTAAAAGTTATGATAAGTAGATAAAGAAAAGCTATGAAAAATATAAAAAGGCAGAGATATAGCACATAGGATTCAATTTGTCATCCTACTTATATAGTAAATAACATATATACTTACATGGACCCACAAAGATACTGGTTTATAGATGGAAATTGTAAGCATATCTAAAGTCCTTGTGAGTGTTTTTTTAACAAACAATGCAGGTTGTTTAAATGAAAAAGGACTACATTTGGCCTGGAGCTTTCATGCTAGGGAGAGTTTATACTGCACAATTCTCTTCGGATTCAAATTTCACCTCTCAAGCTATATTTTAATCTTAGGGGGAAATTGATACTGATACAATGAATATTCCCTACATAAATAAATGTATATATCTGTAATGACAGCTAATGGAACAAGGAATTATTTTTATAAATATAGCTCAATTTATGCATTGTTCAACATTTGAGGAATAGCTACTACAATACTAACTTGGAAGATGATTAGCTAATTTTATTTACTTATTTCTTTGTTTGTTATTTATTTGTATCCCAACTTTATCGGGTTTTTTTTTCAAATAACTCAGTGGTGAACTCAAGCTGGTGAACCTAATAACTCCTCTTATTTTGCCCACAACAACCCTGTGAGATGGCTTGAGCTGAAAGAGTATGATTGGCCAGCTGGCTTTTATAGCTAAAGATGGATCTGAACTCATGGTCTTTCGTATGTATGTATAAAATAAATGGTTATTCAGAAAAATAGATAATTATTTAGGGTGATAAATAACTGACAACTTTGTCATGCAAAAACTGCTTCTCAAAGAGAAGATACATTTATTTTACATATTTAGGAAACAGTACAGATTATACATTTCTTCCTCTTGCAAATGAAAAATGGTTGTTACTTTTATGTAAGGGATCAATGTAATGCCTATGACATTTCTATTA